TAGGTGGAAAGTCTGTCTCTAAGTTCCACTTTTGCTTCAACAGACCTTTGAAAAGGTATGTTTATCTGATATAATTTGGTCGTCACTTGATGACCAAAAAGACCCGAATTTGTTTTGATCAACAAATGGAGATGACGGCTAAATATATGCAGGCCTGAAGCAGTTGTAAAATAAAGGCAACCTAGTCGTATCGCATGCTCCCTGTGGAACATGCGATATGACTACCCTACATAATCCTGGTCAATGAAAGTGTTTATCAATTAATTGATTTATTCTTTAAGAAGATAAAATATTTTTCTTGACTTGTGGTCTGGGTCATTATTGAATTTGCTACTTTTTTTTTTTTTTCTTACTGCAATGGTCTCTTCAAACACCAAGAAAACTGACTGAACGCATGTTTTCTACACCGTCTGCATCGTAAAACAGCTATGAGGCCGTATGTTAAGAGCACGTGAGTGTGTAGCATGTTTTCCAAGTTTGTGGAGGTGGTAAATTCCCGAAAGAGACGCTGACGAGACACTGACCTTGTGCCCCACTTTAAACAAACAGCATATGCAACAGGTTAATGCCCTGCAGTAACCCCACATCGAAAGCTTTACTGTTCCATGCACTCGGATTGTGCAATTAGCAGACGCTGAAGTAGATAGACGGTAGCAGGATGTGGTGCTATTTTTCTCAGGTGAAAATTTACTTGATTGTATAGGACACTAACACAAAAAAAAAAATCCATCTCTTAAGTGTTAAAGACTTAAGAGATGCCTCATCCTTCAGCTAGTTGTCGACTTTATACTTGTTTAAGGTCAACATCTCTTTGAGAATCATCTTTTTGGTGCTGAAATTCTAATTCTCTGTAAAACACTGTTGTCTTTCCTGTTTTTCAAAGATTTAAACAGAGAAAATGGAACATACAGCTAAAAATCATAGTGACTTTTTTTTATTATTTATGCACAGGCTAACATCAGGCTGAAATGCATAGTTTTAGAAAACTTACCAAACAGAAAATGAATAATTTAAAAAAGCAGCCTAGAAAAAAAAATGGAACCAGTTTGGACGATTATCACATCTTAAAGATAACAGGCAGTTTCCCAAAAAATAAAAATTAAAAAATGGTTTCATATCAGAACCTATGTGGGGAGTAAAACAGCAGTTAGTCCTCAATTTGTTTCTGTAAAAGCCAACTTCCTAGATTCCTTTCTGTAACTCGTGTCTAATTCCTGCCGAAGCTGGATGTTACCATGACCGTGAAGGCAGCATCAGAAAGTTCAGGCCGTGCAGACTCATCCCAGCTGGAGGCCGAAGGGAAGCTGCTATAGTTATAACCTCATGCAAATGTCTCACTTCACGATAGCTAGCCTGAAGTCCTGTTTTCACCAACCAGAACTTATATGAGCGCTTTTTAAGTTACCTCAGAGTCGAAAACTAGTATTTTACGAGGGGATTTTTTTTTTTATTCCTATTTTATTTATGCGATTCAAAGAATAAATGTTTGTTCTGCAGCGCTTTTTGTTAATCATTGACGTACTGTTGTCTAAACAAAACACGCGTGATCGGGAAGAATCGATAGGACAGTACGCAGCCAGTGCACGTTTTATTTGCCTCCTCCTGCATTAATCATAGTTTAACACTTATCTTCAGTGTAAATCAGGCATGCACCACCGCATATGGTAAAAAAAAAAAAAAATCAGCCGCGGCTCGAGTCGGTGTGAGTGTCCTCTCTCCGTATTTGTTGCGCCCTCGTCGTCTGCAGCTGCTCACAAAGCGCCGAGCGGGGCCGCCGCAGCTGCCCGACAGAGAAGATGGGGTCCGCGGGTCACATGTGCTGGGCGCTGCTCGCAGTGGTTCTGCTGGGGCTTCATCACTCCGCCGGCTTCTGGATCGTCAACGTCGTTTTCCCACCCAGCACTAAAACCAAAATACCGAGCAACAACACTTCGCCGCTCATCATAGGTAAGAGGAGAGTTCGCTTCCGTCATTTCGGGTCTTTTAAATTTATACCTCACAGAACGCGATGGATGTTTGAGGAACCTCTTCCCTGCTCAAACTTTCTGATAAATTATCTGTGTGTGTGTGTGTGTGTGTGTGTGTGGAGGGGGGGGGGAGATATGTAATCTACCAGGGCGTCCGATCTGACTGTATTCTAATATTTGCTACTCATACATTTTCAAACGTAACCATCACCTCCTGTGAACGTACTTCACATTTCCAAACTTTTTTTTTTTTTATTTATTTTAGATTTAAAGTCATAAACAGAAAAAAGGCTCATACTTTTGAAGTGGGCCACAAAACTGCTAAAACATACTATTTCTCCTATAACTCTCTTGGAATCACCCAAAAGCGTCCATGTTGACACTGGAGAAGCTGCAGAGATTCACAGCTCTGGTGGAAGAGTAGTAATTATTTTTGGTCAGTTCCACAGATCTAGCCTTTATGGAAAAGTGCTAAGAAGAAAACTTTAAGAAGTATTGTTTAAAGTGTGAAAGAAGGTTCTCTGATGAGAAGAAAACCAATGTCTACCCTTTTGGCCTACATTTTAAATTCTATGGTAGTGAAAATATATATATTGCAACTCAGGAAAAAGAAAAGGCTTTAAGACAGAGGTTCACCTTCCACCAGTAGTCTAAGCATACATCCAGAGCTGCAAAGGAATGGCTTTCATCAAAGTATCACATGTTAGAATGGTCCAGTCAAAGTCCAGACCTAAATTTAATGAAGACATGAAAATTGATGTTGCTAAGCACTCCATCTACTATGACTGATATTGTGACTTGTGAAAGGCTCATAGTCATATGCTTGAAGTCTTGCAGCTGCACCTGTAGTGAAAGATAGTTTTTCAAAGTTTTGACCCAGATCAAATGTGGAAAAGTTAAATATTCCCTCCCAAGAAAGAGTTCTACTCCTTGATGTTTTTCATATTTTTCTTTCTCAAGTCAAATGTAATTCAATTCTTAGATCAGTCATGATATCTACTTGTTCAACGTAGACAGTTCTTTCATCAAGGTGATGTTTTCAGCATCAGAGTTCGATTAGCTTCTGTGGGATCCAACACAAGGATGCTAAAACACCTGACTTGGGAAACGGACTTCCTTATTTGGAGCATGACCAAATAGAGCCGAAGATACAAGGCAGATGGTAAATAACAGTTACTCTTCAAGAGCTCAAAGAGCAGGTTTATGTAAAAAAAAAAAAAAAAAAAAAAGTTTGAATACTGGGAAAATGTCATGAGTCATCCATAATTTCTTTGTATTTTCCTTTCAAACAGACTGAATGTCCTGTAATCAGACCATTACGGGATGGCTGTTCTTTAAACCGTTTAGCTCTTACTTGCATTTTTTGTCATAAAGCCTCATACACCCAACGGGTGACCCAAGTATTCAAGATCTGAGATTCAGTTGTCATGACATGAAACAATACCAAAATGAATCTTCAAGGTCCTCAATAAAAAAGACTCACAAAAGGCACAAGCTGGACATACCAAGTTTGAATGTCCAACTTATTAAAGAAAAATCTATGATAAAATTCCAACTATTACCTGAAAGCAAATTTTTTGCCTCATTGATTGGCAAAATAAAGTGACGTGGCCTGAAAGATTTTGGAAAAACGTGCCCATGTTTGATATTGCCCCGTGCTTCTTGTTGTTTTAAGTGGGCTTAACTACTCACCCGCTGAAATCTATATCCAGTGTGGCAATCAAGGACAGTGAAAGTCCAACCAGCAGGCCAAGTACGATGCTGCTCAATAGAGATTTCGTGCATACGGATTTGATCTGTTTTGTGCTTTTTGTGTCACACCTAAATGTTTCAGACCCATCAAACCTGTTTGAGCATCAGAGATAACCTAAGTAAACTCAAAATGCAGTTTTCACTAACTTTGACTAAGCCACTCCACTCTAAAAAAAACTTAATTTTGGGGGCATTCAGAGATGAATTTGTTGGTGTACTTCAGATTATTGTTCTGCCTCTAAACCTGAGTATGCTTAAGCCAAAGGTCACAAATTTATGGCGGGATGTTCTCATTCCTAATTTTCTGGGAGAAGCCAGAGTTCATGTTTCCATCAATTACTTCAAATTGTCCAAGTCCTGAAACATCAAAGCACCCCCCAGCCCGTTACACTAACAGGTTCCTTTTCTGGAATGCCCTGCTAGTTTTATTCACAACAGGTAAAAGTAGATCTGACAAGATCTGTATCTGACAATACAGCATGTAGCTTAGATAATGAAGATTCGTCGTGGCGGGTTCCACAGATGAACATTTTGCTGCTTTTGTTTATTATTAAACAAAATGACTTGTATGATGTTTTCTGTTCAGTGCCTGGGAACTTGGGGAACCGACTCGAAGCCAAAATAGACAAACCAACGTTGGTTCACTGGTTCTGCTACAAGAAAACTGAAAACTGGTTTCCTCTGTGGATCGATCTCAACATGTTCATGCCAATAGGTGTGGACTGCTGGATAGATAACATCAGGTAACACACACTGTTTTAAGTTGTCCAACCACACCTGCATTCTGCTGGTGTCTCTCTTTTACATTCAAATGAATAGTTTGTTTTACTCTGAATCGATTGATATCCAGAATTTAAAAATTTAGCTATTTTTCAGTTATTTGATCAATTTATTTTGTCGCTCATGTTTTTTTTTTGTTTGTTTTTTTTCTTCTCCCTTCAGACTTGTTTACAACAGGACAACACGACGCTCATCCAACTCTCCAGGGGTGCAGGTCAGAGTTCCGGGATTTGGGGAAACCTACTCCATAGAGTTTCTTGACTACAACAAACTGGCAGGTAAGACGACTGAACCGGGGTTAATTATTAAAAGCCTTTCTTCTTCAGCTCACTAAATTGAGCTTGGTTTCCGTGTGTTTGTATGCAAGTTACCAGAGAATGACTCTGTTCTTTCGAGGTTACTTTCATACTACGGTGGAACATTTGGTCAACGTCGGCTACGTCCGGAACGAGACGGTCCGTGGCGCGCCGTACGATTGGAGATTAGCACCAAGTAAGTGGGTGTCCTGTTAAAACACCTAATGTGGGCCAAGTTTTTTATCCATTTTTTTTTATTGCAACTGTAACCACTAATTAATCGTTTACCTCAGTGCCTCTGCATCAACAGAGGGAGGAATATCAGGTGGTGATTCTTGAACGAACCTGGACGTCTGATTTGACCCAGAAAGAACTCATCATCGCTTTCGTGTCTTCACAGATGAGAACGCAGCCTATTTTCTAAAGCTGCAGGAGCTGGTTGAGGAGATGTACAACCAGTACGAGAAACCAGTTTACCTACTGGGACACAGCATGGGCTCCCACTACGTCCTCTACTTCCTCAACCATCAGCCGAAGCCCTGGAAGGACAAGTACATCAGGGGTTTTATTTCCCTTGCAGCTCCATGGGGGGGCGCTGTTAAAGCACTCAGAGTTTTGACCTCAGGTAAAGTTTAACTGGAACAGAACTTGCGGCAGATGATTAATGGATAATACCAGAAACTTGATTTTTATTTATTTATTTTTATTTTTTTTAATTTGGCACCTGGTTCTGCCAAATTAAAAAAAAAAAAATTGGCATAACCACTTAAAACTGGAGAAGCTTTCAGTCAAGATGTGCTGGTGAGTTTGTACCTTCTTGCCAGGCGCGGAGCTATATGGGGTGCTGGGGGTCCAGATGGGTGCCCGGGAGGGAGGAATGGTTTCAAGTCGCTTTAATGTCTGATTATAGACAGAGAAAGTGTGCCCTCGCCTGTGCAGAAAGGTGTATGTAATGTTAAAGTTACTTTCCCTCATTGGAATATATAGTAGTCAGTCCCAGTGACTGTTTCACTCACGGTTTAGCCAATGTGCTTCCTTGGTAAAAATCAAACAACAAACGCGCAGGTGATACACTTGAGGGGCCCGGTCATTGGCCCCGTCCCCCGCCCAACGCTGACTTGTTCCGCTAGTGCTTCTTGCTGTTCACTTTCTACTAAAACTCACTGCAGGTGAAAACGACGGCATCCCGATGCTTTCCAACATCAAGATCCGCGAGGAGCAGAGGATGATGACCACTAATCCCTGGTTGCTGCCGTCAGAGGAGGTTTGGCCAGAAGACCATGTTTTCATCTCCACTCCAGCCTTCAACTACACGCATCGGGACTTCAAGCGTCTTTTCACAGACATCAGCTTTGAGGATGGCTGGTAACTTAGAGCTTTTATGCTCTTTCTTTAGCTTCAAAATTATGCTTTTAAAACACTTTTATATGGATATTTAGTTCTTTCTCTGCACCAGCTTTATACAGTAAACATGTGAAAGAGGATGTTTTGGTCAGAACCTTTTCTCTTGCATGTAGATCTCAGTTTGTTGGTAAACTATTAAAATACTGAACTCGCTCACAAGATTTGAAGCATCTTTGTTGCATTCCTGAAAACTTTCCACATCTTAAGCAAATGGCCTTTGGCATTTGTCTAAGATGAAATTAAATTCAAATGTGTTTTGACATGTTTGTTTTAGGGATACGGACTAGTTCAACTTTGACTTTCTTAAGTTGTGGTGTTTCTGTGCCCCCTGCTGGTTAGGGAAGTTATATCATCCACCAAAGGGCTTTTTAGCAGCTTCAGTTTTCTGTAAAGCTAATTTGAAAACAACTACAGATGCTTTCAAATGAAAATCGTGTGGATTATGTAAGAATAAACAGCAAACATAACAATAATAATTAAATAGATCTTTTTTACTGATTGCAGGCACATGTGGGAGGACACCAAGAACCTCACCAGTGCTCTCCACCCGCCCGGCGTAGAGGTGTGGTGCATGTACGGCGTGGGGCTTCCGACACCCGTAACCCATATTTACAACGAGGAGTTTCCCGACGGGGACCCGGTGGACTTTGTTTACGCTGACGGGGACGACACGGTGGACAGCTTCAGCATGGGCTTGTGCAAGCGCTGGGTGGGGCAGCAGGAGAAGCCCGTCCACGTGACGGAGTACAGGGGCCTGGCCCACCTAGATATGGTGTTCCATGAGAAAGTGCTCAATCAGATCCAGCAAATCCTGGAGGGTAAATCCGATGTGCCCAAAGAGGTCGACGTCCGGTCAGATGTTATATAGCAGATGTTACAGTGCTGTGTTTGATGTAACTGGATTCCTGTGTATACATGTAAAAATAAGCATATTTGGTCACTATGTTCAGCTATAAATTGTTCTGGACTGAAGGAGTCTGACTCTGACCTTCTCATTTAAACTAAAGTGTTGGTTTATCTGTGCTCTGTTTATTCCCACATATATATGTATAGTGGCCAACTGTTTTAGATCAGCATCAAATCAGTGTTATTTTTAAAGCATATGTTCCACAACTCGAAGGTAACAGCTGTTTTTGTAATGTACGTTTTCTGTAGGGTTTAGTTCAGAGATAAAGCGGAATACATTTGGACAGCTTAGATAACTTCACTGAATATTGTCTGTTCCTCTAAACCAGAGGTTCCTAAACTGTGGGGCGCGCCCCC